TTACATATGTTTCAGAAAGACATTAGCAGTTTTGTTAATAAATTCATGGTACTTGGTAACATGACATCCGTAAGTCGTACGTCCATCCTGTCATCTAGTGTGAAGTCATCAACAGGTGCATGATCCCGAGCCGACCAGAAGGAAACATGGTGTCTAATATGCCCCCCCCCCCCATGATGCTAGACCCTCACCCTATGTCGTTAGACCATATTTTTATTATAATATGTAACAAAGCCGCCAATATTTGTCAACAATGTGTGGATTAATATTTCCAAAGATGAACGGTACAAACTAGACATTGCCTCTTTAACCCATCACAGTCTGAAATGAACAAATAATATTTAGGAGATAACAACCTTCTCATCTGTAGTTCATCCATCTGAAGGCAAAGGACATGCAGGTTTCTGATGAAAGTACTAATCACTCCATGGGGATGCTTTATGACAGCAGTCTACAAAGAGGTTAAAACTACAACTGATGAAATGCATTACTCCACAGCTTGATCACTGGCTGGTATGGAAATTACCAGAGAACTTAAATTAAAAGCTACGTTTCAGATTTCTTCCAAGGATTCATGTTAATACTCATAAAAGCCCATTCAAAGTTTTGTTTCACTATCTATCATGAAATGGTTAACATCATCCTCTTGAGTCATAGTAAATCTGAGGTTTCTGAACCTCTCACCTAGGAACACCTGGAAAACTAGCTCTCATTAAACTGTGCTCTAATCTTTCGTTCCAACAAGAAGTCTGTCAAACTCTGAGTGTCAGAGCTAATGTCATGGCTGACATGTTCAATTACGATGCACCTGCAAAAGCTATGTGCAGATTGGTACTAATGAGCAAAGTCATTATGATAAACAACAGATGACTGAGGCAAAAAGAGCCCAGTAGACAGACCTAATTATCGAGGAAATAACAATAAGCGAATGAACGAACAAATGAATGTTCATCATTAAAATTTTACCCAAATTTTGTGTTCATTGTAATTTTGTACAATTGCTTCATTACATATGCATTTAAGCAGATGAAAAGAAAAGCTTAAACTTTCGCTCCAAACCAAACACAAATGCAACTTCTCTCACATGTCTCTCATAATTACATTAAAGGTGTGGAACACTGAAAAAACTTTTAAATAATATTTTTTTGATCATAATCGATCACTTTGAAATTCGATCACTCGGAAATTCGGAGTTCCGAGGAGAAAGCGAACGCACCATTAGCGAAACGGAAGCTAACATATCAAGGTAAGGTTATCTTAAAAATTTTATTTACCTACCGGAGCAGATTAAGATGAGGATGTCTCAGATCGTTGTCTGTCGCTGGTTTCATCATCACCCAGTTACCCATCACATTTAGTGAAGGTTACCCAAGCGTTAGCGTGCGTTCTTTCTACCATGTTGCTCTGTTTACAACACGCTCGCAGCGACCGATGACATAACGCTCTTGCGCATGCACAGCTGTCTTGGCAAGTTCTCGTTATGAAGGACGGGTACCGAAACAAGGCACCGTTTGAAACGACGTGAATCGGTGCTCGGTCGGTACTATGGAATTCGGTCGGTACCTTAAAAAGTACCGAATTCGGTACCCATCCCTAGCCACAGCTGCCCTGGGGCACAATGACCAAGGCGAGGCCTCTGAAGACGGGTGCCACCAGTTTCTTAGACCATCACCAGCAGGCAGGAAGGGTTAAGTGTCTTGCCCAAAGACACAATAGCAGAATTCTCTGACAGTAGCTGGGATTGAGCCGACAAACCTCTGATTACTGGACAACCCACTCTACCTCTTAAGCTACTGCTGCCCTAAAGTGTCCCACATCTTTTAGAAAAATAGATCTAAACATGTAACTGGTTTTTCAATGGAGATTTAAAAAAAGGCAGAAAAAAATCCATTTAAGGTAAAGGTTTCACCCTAAGGGACATTTAATGATAAGAATAGATGATTTAGAGTTAAGGACACCATTTCCCACCTAAAAACTCTGCAAAATAGTCAATTATTATGTTTATTTCAAAGCCAAGAACTCTAATTTACTTTTCAACCACTGCAGGAAAATGAAATAATAACCTACAGGGTGATGAGATGTCAAGAATACATCTGTATATGACAAATAACCCATGAGTCATCTACTATAATAAAATAAAACATCTTTCAACATTTCAGTGAGTGAAAGGAATTTTCCATCTCCCTACATAGAATACAACCATTGCTGTTGATAAATTGAAGTGCATATTATCCAAATCACAGTAATGATTTTAACTCGGGCTGAACGATTATTTGCATATGCAATAAAAATGTGATGTGACAAAAGGAGATTTTGCAAAAGCTGCGACCAACTCCTTTCTGTCTCTTCATTCTTATTGTCTCTTCCTGCTGACCATCTTTGCTTTCATAAATGAGTGAGCCACCCTGAAAGACTGGCTCATACCCCACCCCATTCTTTGTGTGTCCAAGAATGCCAAATCATGACTTAGGCCTAGTCCACACGTAGCCGGGGTTTTTTTAAACGAATATCCGCCCCTCCAAAAACTTGCATCCACACCAACTCGTTTTAAAAAAAAACTCTGTCCACACGTACCCGGATAAATACGTTGTTAAGGACATGCCAGACCTGTAGGCGGCAGTACTTCCCCCGTTCTTAACCTCATCCTTCGTCTGTGGTCTTCCACAAGGAGCAGTAATTCCGCTTGCAAAAACAAACAAGCAAAAAGCGCTTGGACAATTGATAAAGCGAGCGCAGCTCTGAGGGCTTCCATGCTGTCAGCTAGTGTAAACACAGGTTGCACACGTGATGTCAGCATTTTTTTGTAGCAGAAAGTGACGTTGCGGACTTAAAACTCAAGTTTTGTCCGTCCACACGCAGACACCCAAAACGGAGAAAACGCAGATCTTCTCTTTGGCCGGAGTTTTTAAAAAGATCTGTTTTCGTGTGAAAAAACTCTGTTTTCGTGTGGATGACAGGCCAAAACGTAGAAAAATATCCACGTTTTGGCAGATCCCCGGCTACGTGTGGACAGGGCCTAAGTCAAGACTCAAAGTAAAAATGTCCATAAGCAAGATCTGTTGTTGCTAGCATGAAAAGGCATTTAGCAATGTTCAGTTCACAGACCAGAAAAAACGTCAGACTTTCTTAACTGCATCTTAACATTGATGCAATAGACACAATCAAAACAGATACATATTTTAGGATTTAAATTCAAACTATAATTAAAAACACAGCGTTGCCAGCCCAATATGTGAAACCTTGAAATAAATCAAAAGCTTTGAGCTGTGAGACCTTGGATCAGTTGCCTAAAGGTCCAAGACGTCCTGCATCTGAGTGACAAGAAGCCAAACTTGATTCCTCTCAGCAACATAACCCACTCTCCTCTCGTCTCTCCGAATTACAGCAAAGCTAATCTTAATTGATGCTAATGGAAGTCAATGATTTGCTGTGAGGAACAAGTGCAAATGTGCTTGAGCAATTAACCTAATATTTACTGGCTCTGACTCCCAGGAGGAGCTAGCTTGTATTTGTCTTCTCGCTCCCGCTGGTACGACATGATGGGGAGCAGAGGGGATGATTGTTGGGGAGGAGTTACAATTAGAGGTTTCAAAGCAAACAAGGGAGAAAGGTTCTATAAGAATAAACAATTAGACTGCAATAAAAATAATACATACATTTCTATGTGACCTGTATCGTAGAGAAATTTGTATTTCTCAATGACATTATTCTATCTTCAAAGGCTTGTAACCATGAGGGATTTTATTCACGGCTGCCACATGATTGAAGTGCCCTGAGTGTATATTTGGGGAGAGATTTAAGCATTTTTTCAGTTATATTTAATTGGTATCATACTCCTAACTCCCGCCTTGTTATCGTCAAAATCATTAAAGCTCTTCAGTTGAGTGGGATTTTGATTATCCTCTGATTTCTGAGGACCCTATGTGCCTATCAGTTGACATCTTATTTCCACAGTAGAAAAACACACACGCTTGGTTTTTACATCAGGAAAACAAAACGACTGCAGAATCACTGATGGTGAGAAACCATGACAGTGCACAACAGCAGCAGCAGCGCACATTTTTAATACTGCAAAAGTCAAAGATGCAAGAGAAAAAGTGCTTTATTCTCACTTATGAACATCTGTCATAGGACAGATGTGGGTGTGAACAATGTTATCATGGGTGCAACAAAGTCAGCGATTAAAAATGGAAAAACTTGGATAAGAAAACTCAACATGAAGCCACATCAAATACAAATTTTAAATTAGTTGATTGCAAGAAACTATTACAGTTTTGTCAAATGTTCAAAAACCCATTAGAGATACATTTTGTGCAAAACAGTTTTTTTTTTTTTAATAATCAATCAACTTTAGCACTTAATCCTACAATGCATGCAACTCAAAGTGCTTAACAAATTAAAAAGGCCCCGCATACCCACATTCCCTCCCATCCCAAGAATTTTAAAAACAGTCTGACAATAAAAACCCATTCACAACATCCTCCGGCACACACACACACACACACACACACACACACACACACACACACACACACACACACACACACACACACACACACACACACACACACACACACACACACACACACACACACTTATTTCAATTATTATTCACATTATTCAGCGCTTTGGGCTTCCTGACAGGGTTGCGGAAGGCGCTTTATAAATAAAGCTTTGATTGATTGATTGATTGAATTAATTGTAGCAGCTGAACTCTGTTTCACTTATAAATTATAATTGTCTTCTGTAAGGGCAGTTGCCTTTGACAATCATGGAAAAAACACGATTGACTGAGATCAGTTGAGCCAGCTACAAGCTTTTAAATGGTGGCATAAATAAATCAAATGTCAAAAAGACAATTACTTAATATCATTTTTTAAAATGAGAAGAAATTTGTTGTCATATTTAATTTAATCTCTTCAGTCTTGACAGCATTAACCTCGTTTGATGTCCTGTAGGAGTGTGTGAGCTGGGGGGGGGGGGGGGGGGGGGGGTTGCACAAGTGTCACAACTCTGGCCCAATCCCAATACTTACACTTCCACCCTTGAATTGTGTATTCCAATCCAGGGTGCAAGTGCGTTGGGTGTCCCATTCCTCAAGTGCAGAAGTTGACTACATTGATCTGCACTTTTCCACAATCCAATGCTGCGTGGGAATTTTGAGAAGAAGGCAAAACAATGGCTCAAGTGCCGTCAAGTGAAAAGATGTTTAAAAAAAAGTTAATTTTAAGACGATTAATGATATTTATTCATGATTTGAATGATTTAGGCTAAGATTTAATGTGGACAGCAGTTAATGTAAATGTTGTCAAGAAATTGTTTTAAAGTTAATAAAGATTTTTGAAACAATAGCACAAACAGTGACCAGCATGCTTTGTGGTCGATGACACAATGTTCGCTGTCCCAATTTGGCAATTATTTGCTCACTTGTGCACTACGCACTCGAAGCCTTACTGCACACTTCCTCCAAGTGCACTCTGCTGAAGACTGTAGGGTCAGTGCGAGTATTGGTACTGGGCCTCAGACAGAGTGCTAGGTAAAGCTGATCCCACATACGTGTCTGAATTCAAAGTGACTTTGGTTTGGTCATTTGTATTCTACCTTCTTTGATTTTTTGTTCGAAATAAAATTAAACCATGTTTCTATTGAAAAAAGTTCCTGCGTTCTTCATTATAAGAACTTCTGCATTCACTTCCTCTGAGCCATACCAGGAATAGAAAGACCCCTTACGTACTTGTATATTTATATTTCCTGTTTCTCTGAAAATCCCATCAAATGTCAGTTTGCTTCTCGTTTGCTGCTTTTATGAAAATCCGACATCCTTTATGTTTGTTATGGTGGAACAAATGGAACTTCAAATTAGCTGATATTCTGCTCTATAATGTTTTCATTTTGAAAATCTTGTTTTTCTGTTGTGATTTAGTTTTATTTACCAAAATAAAAAGATTTTTTGGAACACGTCAGACCCTGTTCATGACAGTAGGCAAACCTTTTACCTTTTCCAGGTTCTCACGCTCTCTCTGACTGAGCTGGGTTTTGTTTCCTGCAATTTTCCACCTGTGACCATGGCACTGCATGCACTTTCATTGATTTCCAGTCTGCTTTCTTCTTTGTCTACTATAACTCCCCTGCTTTAACAATAAATGGCACCAAATAGGCTGCTCAGCTAGAATAAAGTTCTTATAACGACATTATCTCAGGTAAATCAGACCTACTGAAATCTTTGATTTCTGGAAAACTGATGAGTTGCAACAGCCTACAGTAAACCAAACTTTTCTTCATATTAACATATTAACGTGTTCAGATATTAAAATGATTGTATATTAGTGACATACTGGTGATCCTTACTCTTATAATGGTTCCACGTGTGCTGTGCATCTGGAAATCTCTAAATTTAGCTTTAGTGAGAAAGTGAGAGAAATGTGAAAAAACTTTGGGATGGCAACCAATTTGTGAATGGAATGAACGTTTATCATGAACAAACCGAGGCGTGAGTGAGCCAACTTTGACTGAAATATGACAAAAATATTTGCTCCAACCTTTGTAAGACTGTCAGATGAGGTTTGCTGGTAACTTTAACATTGGCACCATAAAAAAGGAGCCCTGTGGAAAGCCATTTTTATTTTCATTTGAGTCAAAAGGGTTATTAAATTTTAAAGTTGTAGCAATAATAGCATTAGTGTAATAATAATAATAATAATAATAATAATAATAATAATGTCAGGTAATGTTTAAACTTTCATTCAAACATTTTTTGCGTGGAATATTTTGTTTAGGATATTTGTCTCTTTAGTGTTTGCTTTAAAAATATGTTTTAACTAAAATGTGCTAAAAAGTTGGATGACCTGCTAGCCCCAAACATTTAGCTAAAGTTGTACTATTTCAGTATGATTGCAACAATTAAAACAGTAAATGATGTGAGAAAGCTGAATGAAGTCTGGGAGGACCAGGGGCAAGGGAGATGGGGTATGGAAGGGACAGGGAGGACATGGACAGGACACAGGACATGACAGTCTGCAGTATAAATGTTGCAAGTCACAGGAATTGATCAGAATGAATGTTGACACAAGAACATGTTTGTCTACAAGTTAATTTATTCACCAGTGTCCTTCAATCTCAAAGAAATAAAAGTGAATATTTAAATCTTTTGATTATTTGAAATCTTCAGTTTTATAGTTTCCACTGTTTTATATGTTGTCTAATAAAAAAAAAACTTTTTTATAAAAAGTGTTGATATAAAGGGCAAAAAAACAAAACATCAAACTAAACAAAAAGAGTCCGTAACCCACTTTAACACAAAGCTTTGTCATTTTATTTGTTATTGTGTCTGTGTTAGATTGGTAAGTCTCAGCTGTGATTCAGAGCAATACATTTACATATAATGACTCAGTGACTTTTTGGCAGAGCTGTGAGACAAAAATGGCACTGCGCCTTCAGCAATCAGCCTATTCTTACATATTTTTCTTTGTTTTAGTTGTCTCTAATAAGCTACGCTCACAGCAAGTTTGGCGTTCACGCTTGGAAAATGGCATTACAGAGAATGAGCTGAAACCTGCCATTGTCAGAATGTTATTCTGAGGGCCAAAGCACAACTCACATTGAAAACGATGATGATTGCCTTGCTACACAGTGGCTTTCTGCTGTGTGTGAATGGTTGTTCTATGGTAAGAACCTAGGCTGAGCCTGGGCCACATCCATTTAAATCATGTCATCAGAATTCATATATAAATCCTCATTTATTGTGTGAGGCCTGGACGCTGTTCACCCAGCAGACAGCTGCAGAAGCAGGGTAGATGCTTTAACAAGCTTCATTTACAAAAAGCAAAGTTCACAATATTTCAGTATGAGATTGCTGATTAAAATAGGCCTGAAAAGGAAAAAGAATAAAAAAGGTAGTTTTGTTATTAAAATTTAATTGCTAAGAAAACAAATATCAAACAGCATTTCCAGAATAAAGTGAACTTCTCACAAAATTGTAAATTAAAGAATAAAAGAAAATAAATCACTGAACAGATCAGCTCTTGCACAAAAACCATATCTAGTTTGACCCACAGTGTGTGCTGGAAAAACACAAATTATGTCTTATGTAAATGAACTATGATGACTTTATACTTCAAGATAGGTTTTAATATAAAAAAATACAAAAGATTAAATTTACACATGGAGCTCTCAACAAACTTTAAATAAATTGCGTAGTTAATAGGTTTTAATATAAAAAAATACAAAAGATTAAATTTACACATGGAGCTCTCAACAAACTTTAAATAAATTGCGTAGTTAAATCCAGGTGGCTACTTTTTTCGGGATGAGCAAACAGGTATTGGATAATCACTGCAAGGGCAATTATCTTTCAGCTGGCAACAAGTAATATACCCCAACTTGTGCAATGAGTTGTTTCTCATTTGTTAAAAAGCAAGTCACCCCCTACCAGAGTCTTACTCCACTCCCACTTCCTGTTTGAAAAATGCAACAAATGCTGTTGCCTGGCAGACCAAGAAGGCGGAGCCGCTACAAATACACACACACACACACACACACACACACACACACACACACACACACACACACACACACACACACACACACACACACACACACACACACACACACACACACACACACACACACACACACACATGCAGTGTCTCAATTCAGGGTCTGCATCCTTCGAAGGACCCAGCCTACTCGGCCGACGTGGGCTGCGTCCTCCGTCGTCCTAGTAGACCGGATGTTAACGACTGTGAATTTGGACAGGCCTAGCCGTAATGAATTCCCGCCACTCCCTTGCGAACGTTCCGTCGCCTTGCAACCATGGAACCACTGAGCCGAAGGGAGAAGGAACTTTAAACAATGGAGCTCGAAGTTTTATTTAGCTTTTTTATCATTTCCTTGACTGTTGGAGAGCTAATTCAGAGAAAATACTTTCAGCAAGCTGAGCCTGAGCAAAGATGTGATAATAGTTTTTAATACTTTCTAAGGGTCTTAATTTGACCAAAACCGATTTATCACCTTTTAAGACTTTTCAAGACCCAGCGAATACCCTGTAATATTAAACAATTCACATTTGTAAACAAAAATAAAATTCAAGTGTTTAATGCAGAACTGATTGTATTTATATATTTCTTTTATATGTACATGATTAATCTTCCTTAACCATTTTTTCTAGCAAAGTAAAAAGCCTGTCAAAGTTCTCCCTTCTCTCCTGTGCCCTCTGCTGCTCTGCCTCCCTCTGCAGCCTCATGTCCTCCCTGATCAGCTCCAGAAGCTGGTCATCACTGTCACCTTCCCCTGGATGCCCATTTTCTCCAGAATAGTCTTAACAAACATGTAAGAAAAAAAACAGGAAGAGAAAAGACAGAGAAAAGAGGACAACGGGTTATTCCCTTCATGTTTTCGCAGAAAAAACTAAACTTAAAATATGAGATGTTATTGTACCTCCATGCCACAGCCGCCGAACACTTTGCTCCAGTGAACATGTGGTCCATCTCCGCCCTCCATCTCTGCCCTAAGCTTAATAAAGTCCGTGGTTTTCTCTTATGTCGCTAAAATATATTGATTGAAATATAAACTTCTATTAAAATCAGGGGGAAAACGTAGCGGGAGAAGTACGACACCGAACGGCCGAACATACGAGCCGAGACCGCAATACAAGCACTTTTACTGTAACATTTCAAACTAAAATAACGTTCATGTATCACAAAAAGCCCTTAACCTAACAGTTTTCAAGTTTATACTGACATTTATATGCGCAATCCTCTCCGACAGCTCCCGCTTCACTGTCCGCCATTGTTTTTAAAAGTTCTACCATCCGGCCCGCAAGGCATCTTGGGAAATGTAAACCATTGAAGGATACACCGGACCCATCCTTCATTCAAGGCGAAAAGAAGGCCGGATTCGTCGACCGCATTTGAAGGAGTCTTCGAATTGGAACAGGCCTTGTCGCGGCGCTGTGACGTAACCGGCCGACGAATCCGGCCGACGAAGGATGCAGACCCTGAATTGAGACACAGCCACAGGCTCACAACCACATTATGACATCATAATGAAACAGCTAACATTATTGTGTACATCTTTGCCAATGGCACAACACTGACAATTTTAGGCAGAATATTTAAATTTAAACTAGGATGCACTAAAGTGCCAAATTACTGACTACAAGTGTCTACAGCATGATTAGACACTCGTTTATAAAGTTTATCAGCCAAAAAATGTCGATTTGGGGGTGACTTGCTCTTTAAACAACCATGTGCAAAGACAAATGTGGTCGTGGAAAAGATGTTTGAGAAAACATCTAAGGAGATGCAGAAACGACTAGAACTGGGTTAAGAACTGTCCAACGCATTAATAAGACTGGTCTGATGAGCCCAGACGGACCCTGTTCCAGAGTGATGGCGCACCAGAGTAAGAAGAGAGGCAGATGAAGTGATGCACCCATCATGCCTAGTGCCTATCTGTGGTGGCAGTGCTATGATCTGGGGCTGCTGCAGTTTGTCAGGTCTAGGTTCAGCAGCATGATGTGCTCCAAGAATGATGTCAGCTGACTGACAAGGTTTTTCTCCCCTGACGGCACGGGCATATTCCAAGTTGACAATGCCAGGATCCATCGGGCTCAGATAGTGAACGAGTGGTTCAGGGAGCATGAGACATAATTTTCACACATTGATTGGCCACCACAGAGTCCAGACCTTAATCCCATTGAGAATCTTTGGGATGTGCTGGAGAAGGCTTTGTGCAGTGGTCAGACGATACCATCATCAATGCAAGACCTAGGTGACAAATTAATGCAGCACTGGATGGAAATAAATCTTGTGAGATGGCAGAAGCTTATTGAAACTCCACAGTGAATGCGTGCTGTAATCAGAGCTAAAGGTTGTGGCGGTGACTATGTGCGGGGATAAGAAATGCGCGTCTGTGTAGCTAAAACGAACACAGCTTCAGACGTGATGTCTGGAATATTAACCAAAAAGGTAATATCTCCGGTATGAACTTCAGAATTATGTCCGGAATTTGGCGTTGAAACGTAGTTTTAATCTCAGCTGACCTGGCCAGGATTAGGATTGTAGCTTTGTGGTAACGTCGGAAAACAGGATTTATCTGTCTTCCAGTTACACAAGCATTACGTACGTGTAAAATAATGAGATAGAATGAACACACACTCACTTTTAACAACAAACAGTAATATATGCAGCTTAGTGCAGACACAGAGTTGGGTGAGAGATAGGGACAGCACCCCTGAAGGTAAGCAAATGGGAAGCCCCGTTCCATTTCAGCAGAACAACTGTTTAATGTATTAAATGAGTCAGAAAAAAACATGAAGTGTAAAATGATTTGAATAAGACTGTACTGGGCTCGCCACTTATGTAGCGGTCACTCTTTATTGCGTGACGACTGCTAATTAATTATGACCAATAAGGTGTGATTATTCCATATAAATATGAAATATCAATCTGATTCATCTTTGAATGTTTAATCAGAAGATTCTAGGGTTCTTTGCTTGTGCAGGGACCACAAACACACTTCGTATTAATTCAGACAGAGTCAGGTATATAGTTAAAAAAGAATTTTATTCTTGTCTAAACTAATGATTATACATGACAAGACATGAATAAGGAGATGTGATGGAGAGGATATGTGGTGATAGAGTGTGATGTATAGGTGGTGTGATGTAAGCAAGATGTTTATCAGAATCTTTGTATCTGAAATAAATTGTGAAATCTGCGTGTGAAAGAATTTATTGTCTGCTATAAACTAGAGAGTTGATTATTAATAAAACAGCATCAGACGCAATCTGTTGTGTCTGCAAACCTCGGCGGAGACCCCCAGCAGATCCAGACTGTCAGAAGTCGGGTGGACGTCACGGCACCGGGATTTCGTAGAATAAATCTGATACGACCCGTCCAATCTTGAGATGTTTCCAGGTCACAAGGGTAGCTGGAAGGCTTGTTTGCATCCAAAGAGGATGTGGCACTTAGGGAGCTGTCTGGCTGTGTCAGCTTGCAGTGAGCAAACAGGCTGACTGTATGTCGAAAGAGATGTTTCAAAAGAGGCTTATTCCCGATTTGGCCGAATCCGGTTTCAGCTGTAAACTGAATTAATTGGGAAGTAAATCATGTTTTAATAAACCACAATATTATTATTTCTGGCCATTCTGGCAAATCACAATGTGCCATGTCTGGAAGGCTTTACCAAAACATTCCTCAGAAAGCCACTCCTTCCTTCAGATACAAGCTTCTTAATTCTGTAAATAAAGAATCTTTAAATGTTATGTGAGGTGAACCTTAAGCTTGATTTGTATCTTATGAAGATGTGTATAAGTATAGATAATGATTAACTTGTTAAATCAAGCACATAGTGATTTGTGATATAAATGGATCATTGTAAGAACAATATTCATTTCAAATTCATTGATTTAACCACAGACTATTCAAACATTTCATGTAAACATCTTATTCATTCATCACATATGATTAATTAACTTATGAGTTGCTGCTGTTATTTTGGGAATTGAGGGAATACAGTTTTAATTTTATTTTAAACAATTCATTAATAATTCATTTTTAAATCTGGGCAAAATTAAATTATTTTTTTTTCTTTCTGAGTGGCCCTGATATGCCTTCATTCTCTTCAGTGAATCTTTAATCTGAAATCAAAAGTCAGTTTAAAGCCCGTGGCTGTGTTGTTGGTTTCTGTTTCACAGCTGATTTTACTTCCATTCCTGCAGGAATACCTTCATCTAATTAATGGCTTCCTGGTTGTGTGTGGAGTTCTTCTGTTAGCTTTATTAAAATTTCCTTTCTGCTGTAATTAAGCAAAGCAGCAGTTCTTTTCTTATGGTGTGCCCGGGCTGTTGAGCTGTACGAGGATTAATTAAATGAGATGGTCTTGTAAATAAAGCAAGCTGTGTTTTAATTGCAATGTTGGCAAAGGGTCCAGAAAGAATGCTGAAAGACTGCGTCATAAAGATCCAGCTCCACGGGGACTTGGGAAATGCTTTCTTGTGTTTGTGTTCAAATAAATTTTCAAGTGGGCTTCTTGAGCTGTATTTAAGGTAATGTAGGGTTTACTTTCTGTTTGATTTTGTCATATTTGACCACCCAGAGCCCAGCCTATTACCTTAAAAACCTAAAATGTTTCTTTCAGTCCTAAATATTCAGCAAGAGACACTATACACAATATTTCATATAATACAATATGATGCAGGAAGCTGGAGTAAAAATTACAAGTAAAAAATGCAAATATAGAACCGGAGTTACCAACTAAATAAACAAATACAGTTTCTCCGCTTCAGTTATTAAAGACAGGTCATCTGTCTTCTTCCTCTGGACCAAGATGATAGCATCTGTCAGCACATCTGGCTCAAGAAACAATAGTTAGCATATCTAACAGAAACAATGACAAGAATCAGAAACAAAAAACACAAATCTAAATAAAAACAGAGCTATAAATACTGTATCATGTGTTGACATGGAGCCAGTACACTAAAAAAAAGGTTGGCTGAAAACGTAGATTTTATGTAATTTAATTACAAGTAAATTTTACATGTTAGTTTATTACACTACAAAGTCAATAAAAGATCCACTATTAAGGTAACCTGTTCTGATGTTCATGTTTATTTGACTTGTGTTAAACCGTTTTAATTAATATCAATTGTGATTTTATAAATTTTAGTTAAATCTTCTATACACATTTTAGATGGTAAAAACTATGTTCAAGATTTTTTTTTTTTTTTTTGCGGGGTGAATGAACGTGTTCTTTATTCTTCTTCAGCTGGAAAGAAGCACAAATGACTGGAGATTTGCTGCATCCTAGAAAATTATTTAAAAGTCCGAAAAAGGTGATTTGATAAAGCATGGTTTACTAAAGAGGCCGAGTTTAGGTTAACACTTAGTACATTTGATTTTAGTTGGAACTATTTTGTTAAATAACAGTTTGGATTTTATACATTTTAGCTAAATCTTATACAACAGTTTTAGCTGGTGCCATTTTTTTTTGGAGTGTATGTAATTAGGGGAAGATCTGTCTGTTTCCTGGATCACCTCGAAACACATGGGTAACATCCTCTACTGGTTTAGAGACACCTATTCTCCTTTATGAAACTTCCACTTGAGGAAATTATGCAAGCATATTGAAATGAAAGTCAGATTAGAATCAGACAGCAGGGAGTCCAAAACCAATCTATATGGAAACAGGATTGTTGTGTCTGTCTGAAGGTTAATCCAATCAGAGCTGCGCCGTCTGGCCCCTTTTGTGAGACTTCTGTTGACCATCACATGTTATGTTATGAGGTTCTGTTAGATAAATTGTAATGGCCTCCACCTGCCACCATGCGCTGGCACTCTTTAAGCCTAATGGCCATATGTTCTGAGACCAGCAGATACTCACTTAACCTTGTACCAATGAGCCACACACTCACAGTAAAGTCCATCATACCCAAACGCCTCATGTTCAGGGAGACGCCTTTAACCTCCCACAGTGATAGGACTCAGATTATGTTAGAGAAGGGTAAAGTTAAGAAATTAAGTTCACTTATTAAATTGTTCAATGAACCCAAATGTTTTCTTTTCACTGGAAACAGACTTAAATACATGTATCAATGAGTTGTGTTTTTGATCAGATGAATGCTTGGAAGCTGCCATTTGAAAAATGTATACCACATTTATGTTTCTTTATGAGACATACATGTAGATAATTCAAAATGAATGTACGATGTTTTACAATTTTTACGCTCCTAAATTATATGATACTTGAATCTATAGCTTGTTTTAGAAAACAATGCCACCAATTTGCTGAAATGCTGAGCTGGCATCAGGGAGCCTTAGGTCATTTGTGAGTGGTCAGACTGTGGCGGTAATGTGGTGCAAATGCAATTGTGTCCTTTTTACAAAAGTTTATGCAATGGAGGTAAAAAAGGGGTATGGGGCAGTCGGCATTGCCACGTTTGTACATTTCACTTGGACCTAACTTGCTTTTTACTGTGCTCATTAAGTTTTTATTTAACTAGCTGCTCCTAAAGGTGGCTTTCTCTCACAGTCCCTGTGCAGTCTCTGGTGATCTGAGCTCCAGCTCTGGGAAATCTGCATCGCTCCAGTTTATCATCTCAGCTATAAGCAATACCTACAGCCCATGTATAATTTTATTTTTAAGAATTATAGCCGGCCGGAGCTCGGCACCAGCTCCACACCTGATCCTGACACCTCACTCTGTTGTGCCAAGGCGTAAAATGCATTCACAAGTCTGGCGTTGCGGGAATATTACTAAAAAGAGTGGTGGCATGTCCTGCAACACCATGCCACGTTCATAATACACACTGTGGTGGCGGCATTAAGCTGATTTGCTGGCACGGTGTCTTCTAAAAAGGGCTTATGGTTGAAAGAAATTCATAAATACATCTTCCCATGAAATGCAAGTTTGTTTATATGTGAAAAATGATTGCAGGTCAAATTAGGGCACCAAACCCTTAAGTTACAAAATGAAAACGGGAATGTAGATGAAGATTCAATTTAACTGAAAGTATAGGAACTGATTGCATTGATAACAACTTGATGCATTTGTTGAACAAAACTTGCTAAGCACATGTTTAGATATGCACCTCTTTGTACAACAATACACCGACATAACGGTCAATGCATTTCAGTAGGTGTGAAGTAGGCGTGCAGTAGGTAAGACTGTTGCCTTGCAGCAAGAAGACTGAAGGTTCAAATTCCAGCTGTGGTGTTTCAGTGTGAAGTTTGCATTTTCTCCTTCCGCATACTTGGGTTCTCTGCAGGTACCCTAGTTTCCTCTTACAGACCTAAAAGACGCATGTTTACTTTGTTCTGCATTGCACCTATGAGTGGACTTACCCCCAAATTCCACTACCTCCGCTCCGCTCCGACACGAACGCCGGAGCAAAATCGGTCCCGTTGTAGTCAATCAGAGCAATTCCACTACTGCGGCCGTGCTCCGGCCGTGCTCCAGCAGTGCGGTGCCGTGCGCCGCCCTCTGTTCCGGCGTCCGGCAAAAATAGAATCGATCCTATTTTCGCCGGATGCCGGAGCACCTCCGCAGTAAATGGACAGAAATCACAACCGTCCAACAGGAAAAGGAGCAAACATAACTTCCGTTTTTCACAATAAATCGATAAACAAAAGGCGTTTTTTGTTTCATATGCGCAGGTTTAACAACTTTTAACAACTATCAAAGGCGGCTGAACTTTAAATGCACAAAAGTAAGCCATAAATACAGTTTCTACTATCAAAGTAGTCACACTTTGTTGATCCAAACACTGCTGATCTCTCAACACAAATGATGGTCAGATTAAAACAGTTCATGCTGATGCTTCTCCCACACAACGGGTGTTTGGATCTAACTTCCGCGTTTATTGCTCGGACTGTATCGCAAGATCTCGAAAATCCCGCGCATGCTTGTTTGCCCACCTCAGGTCTCCGCACCGGAGCGGAGTCGTTGTAGAGCGGGTACCAGTAAAAATTGAGTTCGGAAGCCAGCGGCTGCGGAAGGCGGGGGCGGACCGGAGCGGAGGTAGTGGAATTTGGGGGTAAGTGCCGAATAGTCTCATTATTTATCTGTGTTTTTATTGAATCACGACTGCATACCAAATTTCAGTCTGGAACAATCAGTCTGGTTCAAATACGTGGCCCAGTGATACATTGGCAACTTATCTGGAGATCCCTCCTCATGACACTCTTTGGTAATAAGCAGGTTCTCAGAAAGTGTGTCAGTGAGTTTGGATTGCAGAGTGTTTTGCCTCTGATCTGACATTTCATCTAAGCTGATATGTCAAGGGATGACACTCACACAAAAAAAGAAGAAAAAAGAGACAAGAAGTTTCCTTAGCTTATAGTTAGAAAAGTATCTTTGTAACAGTCTATCACATTTCTCTTTGTGCATCATCACCTTGAGAATTATCAAACTGTCATAAAACAGCAAGTAGAGTACCCAAATCACAGGTTTTGAGACAAATCACAGATAATGAAACCCTTTAATACAGTGAACCGACTAACATGACAGCACATCAACAAAAAAAAATGCACACGCTCAACCAGAGAAGGAAAACAGCAGGAAACACAAAGATAAAGCTGACTTAAAGAGCGGGTCAATTGAGCCTCGGAGTCCTTCTCCACCCACGTATCAATTTTAAAAAATGCAACATTAGTAGGCGTTGCCTGGAGGACCGAGAGGGCGGAGCCGCGGCAGTGACGAAGACGATGGCTAACTAGACGAAGCTAGCTCCCTTCACTCTGAGCAGTTGATAGAAGTGGAGGACGTTTCTCCCCCTCCTTACAGACACTCGAGAAGAAAGGGACCAAGTCTATTTGGAGGAGACAAGCGGACCTGAGTCTTATTGTTTTGAGCTTGTGAGTTGCCTGAAACTCCCAGAACCGACCCAACAGAATCACCTCTGAAAGGTAAGTAGCCGTTAGCCATAGCATTGGATTAGCTGCAGGGTTTGTCTCCACGGCCCCAAAAAGCTAGTATTCAGCATGTTTTAGAGGTTTATCTGCTTCAGCACACCTGGTTTTAATCAGCAACAAATAGCTGAGCTGCTTAACAGCTAATCTAACCTGTTAAAGCAGGAAAATCCACTGAAACATGCTGGATAGCTCTCCGGTAGCCCTGGGCTCAAGGTACAGTCTGCTGCATATAAAGTTATGAAAATACCCCATGAGAAAATTATTCTGTAATGTGTTCAGCCCACTAAAACTGCCCTGATTTCTTTATTTATTTACTAATAACAGCTGCTCTCTCGGTTCTAGGTCCTCTGGTGTCTGCAGCTGGTCTCTGGTGTCTGCAGCTGGTCTCCTCTGCTGGTGTCCTCAGGATCAGGAACTTCCAGAAGAATGTGCCTTTCAATGACTCTTTCCCCCTTATTTGTTATATTAATTAAATAAATCTCAATTTATATATTTCCTGTTTTTGTTCATGTCCATAAATACTTAAACATGCTTGAAATTAGAACGAGCTTTTAACAGTGAGGTGCTAGTTTAATTAATCACAATAGCTAGTTAAACATGCAACAAAAATGTGATATTCAATGTAATTTATAAATATCCATTAAAATATCAAAACTGGAATCTAAATGAGATATTTGGCAGCACAAAAAACTTGTCAAACACAATATTTATTATAATAATTGTAGGCAGACAGGAGACAGAGCTGATGGAGGTTCTCAGTCATCGAAGGAAGGCTGAAGGCTTTCCAGGAACAGGAGATGTGGTGTTGTCTCTTCTCTCTCTATTCTGCCAGATGAGCTGATAGGTTACAGGTGTGTGAGGACATCCTCATGCTGTCATAACCAGATGACAGGAGTTATCAGGTGATCAGCCAGGCTAATGAGATGCAGAAAGAAAACAAATTCAGGACAGTGTACAATATGTGGTGTTGCTCACCTTATGTGCTCTTATAGAATATTAATGTGTGCATGCCTCATGGTGTAGTCCATATTTTGCTGAATGTCCTGCAATAATGCAGGTTATTAGTTAATTTACTTTTGATAGCAAAAACAAAATATTTAATGTAAAAGTTATTTTCCAGGAGAATCAGCTTACACGTCACCACCAAGTGTCACGGGCAGAATCAGTAGCCTCCGTCATGATGTAATCACATACTTATTTAATTGTTAACATCTTAAAAATTCTGAAATGTTTTAATTTTTTTTTTACCTTGAACAGTTCACTGAGCTTGCACTGTCACTGAGGTGGAAGCTGGAATCAACAGCAGACACCTCACACCTTGGTCTTTTCAGGGGGTCTGGACGCTCTGGGACCTTCTGGAAGATGAATTTTCATCATGGTCCCCGTGGGTCACCAGACACACTGCGGCTGTGAACTCCATTCTGGCTGGCTATGTAAAAACAAAGAAGCAGCACATTTATAAATGTTTAAAAGAGCATAAAATCACGTGTAAAAATAATCTGTAAAACAAATTAAAACTAGAAGGTGATAATAAAATGTTTACATAGAAGATTATTAAAAATAATTCACCTTTGCTACAGGGAAGGTTTCACATCAGCCTGGACAAGTACATTCATGCAGCTAAATCAGTCTGACAGCCAGTGTCTTGGGTAGATTTAGCCTGAAAAAAAAAAATAGAAGCACATTGTTGTTGGAGTTTATAGTCAGATAATATACAAAAGAATCTCCTATATAGGCGCTTTATAACATTCCTAGTGTGTGATCGTTGTTATAACGTAAAAGTCAGTCACATATGATGTGGAGAGCCTGAAATGTGACCTCCTGAACAGAATTCCTCACAGAACCGGGTCACAAGCTGGATTTCACGCTGTAATGCTGTCAACAAGTGCTGCGTCAGTTAGTCACTGTTGCAGAATTGCCGACTGACTAGCTAAAGGAAGTGAACCACGTCTCTCAGACTTTGCATTTAGGTAGGGAATTGTCTTTAGAAGATGTTAAAACGTTTATTTAGCTGACTCACCTCAGACTGGAGCCCGCCGTGGTGGGGGAGCAGAGTCGGTGGGCTGCATCCAAATCGCGGAAGAGCCACGGTGGGCACAGCCTCCCTCTTCAAACGGAGACGTGCAGAATCGCGGGTAAAATGCCCACAGAGTCACCGCAACCATACTACACTACACCTACTCACCAATACTAAGACGATATGGAACACTAAACCCGAACTACTTTCCCAATTACATTAACAGCCAAACACTAACTAAACTATAATATACAACAGCCAAGCTAACACTAAATAAGTATTTATAACACTAAAAGATATGCTAAAGACTAGGATATGCTAATGCTATACGCTAATGCTGAACTACCGCTGACCTCCTACACTCGCTTGCAAATCCAACTCCCACTCGCCACAGGGCGTGGCCGAGACGCTCGTTGCTTTTATAACTTTGGCACGGAGCTGCTACGTAGTACTCTACTGGTTTACGTAGTACTTTACTCTTTAGCCATTGGCTAAAATTTATTCAAAATGACTCAAATTCTATGTTTTCAGCTGAAGGTGGCGCATTACTGTGGTTTTTAGACAGAATTTTTAATTTTTAAAGAAAATGCACCAAAATGCTAAAATAAAGAATGCACACATTTAAAACACTATTAGACACTCATTTATACAGTTCATCAGCAAAAAAAGTTAATTTAGACGTTACTTGCTCTTTAAATGAAAAGGGACGATTACTGAATAAGAAGCAGGTGAGCTAATTAATGAATGGGTCACAGGTGTGTAGAGTAAGTCTGGGCTGGAGAGAACATTAAGAAGAGAGGGGTGCAGGCTGGAAGTGAGAGAAATGTTAAAAGCGGGGCAAGTGATGAGTGTATTAGAGAAGTGTTGAGGTTTCTGGGTGACGTGGGGGTGGTGGGGAGGAGCATTTAAGAGGAGAGATACGAGAGAAGTGCCAGTCCAAACCCCAGATCGGTAGATGGTGGTTATGCACCTGACGTTGATTGCCAACCACCATAAAATGCCAAAAGATGAAACACACTCCTGGCCCTCAACCTTCCTTCCATCAGATGTGTAATCATTGCAAAATGGCCGCAAAATGTACTATGAAGCAATTAGCCTCTGTTATAGTGGACAGGTGTGGATAGTGGACAAGTTCTTTTCCACCAGCAGCAACGTTTTAGACACATCCCAGAATAGGGATGCTATCATTACATTTCAAGTCTATTTTGGATGCACTACGCTTCCTAAACATGCCAAACTTCGCAATTTAGGTTGGGCCAGACAGGAAGTCAAACAAACATCCAGCAACCTTCAAAATAAAAGTCACATGCAGCTCCCCATAGCTGAGCAAAATGGTACAGAATATAAACCAGACCTATTTGGTTGTAACCATAACTGCTTGTAACTTCTAAAATCACATGTGGTGTTGCACTTCTCCTGTGATTTTGTGACCTCACAGGACCAGCGGCATGGAGCGCTTTTGCTCCCGTTTCACTTCAGAATTGCTCCCGGTTGGAAGGGAGGGGTCGTAACAGATATTACATCCAAACTCCACAAGTCACTTTATCACTATATTCTCGGATAAGGTGGGGTGTGTTTATCCTTGGCAGCAATCCAATAAATTCCCAGTTGGTGTTGGTCCACCCTGTAGTCGTCTCTAGTCATCCAATCTGTTTGTGATTTTCCCGGACCGGATTATGACCGTGGCCGTGAATTAAAGCATGCACTGGTGTGTTTTACAGCTTCCTATGCATCAGTGGGGATTAGAGTCAACACCCCCAACCTTGAACACGTGTTCACGCATAAAACAGCAGATTGTTACCTTCAGGATGTGACTGAGTCGCTCCCTAACGAAAAAGCCTCTAAGCACCACAGGGTCATGAGTGGAGGATAAACAAAACATTTGTCTGTTTGCAATAAATCCATAGAATTGTGTTAGGGTGAAATGCATTTACCACCACACACTCTTGACTGGGACTAAAGTAATAACAGCCCTGATGCAAGTGCGTTTTATTTTTTATTTTTCTATCCCAAAGCCTTTTCATTGTAGATGTGTCTCTAAGTGTCTTGTGATCAATTGTAAATCCATAGTAGCAGCTGTGTGCTAACAAGGTATGCTAACAGCAGAGCTCCTAAAATCCCTTGTTACAAAAAAGGCTGTACATCTACCATCAATACTTAGATACATTAAACCTGCTGAGAGATCCACATCAATATGATGTCGTCAACTGCATTGCCTTATATCCATCTTCAAGCCTTATACATTATGCACATGCAAAGAGCAGAGGACCATCATTGTGGGGCCCCTTAAACATCCATAATCCTAAGTATGTGTGTTGACATTGGCCTCCCAGCTAATGTTATTGATATAATCATAGCATTCATGTTAATCCTTAAGTGCAAGTCACTTTTAACTCATGTGTCTTCAGCCTGAATAATAATATTTTACGTAGTGTCGACAACAGTGTTAATTTTGTTCGTTTTTTTTGGGGGGGGGAGGGGAACAAATTAATTTTTGCGGACTAAAATGAAATAAAAACACACAGGTCAAAAAAGCCTAAAATATGACGAACATTGTTCTTTGTTATGTTCGTACTATGTTTGTTTTCTGATTTCGCTGTCTTTAGGTTTGTTTTTACCTTTACCGCCATGTTTCGGCGTCACTGCCGTCTTTGTCAGGGTAAGCGCCGGATGTTGGTGGCATCACTTCCTTTCATCCGCGATCAGGATAGATCAAAGAAGCAGTTGAAATAGGGAGGCGTGGATCCAGGACCATGAACAGGGAAGTAGGAGTCTACACGCTGGACCATTTATGGGACACTGTGATCAGCGGAGAGGGCGCGGGTAGCAGAGGGCAATATCGTCCTCTGCTGCCTGTGGATAAAAGGAAGTGACGCCACCAAAATCCGGCGGTTACCCTGACGAAGATGGCAGTGAAGTCTAAACATGTCGGCAAAGGTAAAAACAAACCCTCGTCACACTGCGCACAACAAAGAACTAAAGAAAACGAAATGATGAATATTTATCAACGTTTTTGTTGATGAATAAGAAACGACAAAAACAAAAATGCAATCATAAAATGGAAAAGATCGGAGTCTGGAAAAAAGGACCTATAAGTAAATGAAACAGGCGAGACCAGATGAGAAAATAACTAATAAGAGTCCGGAACCGGCTGCTGTTTGAACAAGCTAGCAGTAACCAGGCATCATATATTGATGTCTAAATGTCCGAGGCTGGAAGGAAAAACATTAAATATGACCATCTGAAAAGTATTTGTAGCGAGTCCTATGTGACCCGCTGACTTCCCAAACCTGTGGCATTTGATGCAGCGTATCTGTCTTCTGTGTTTCTGAGGCTTAATAGTGTTACGGTGTTAGAAACGAGCAGGGGGCAGGAAAGGCTGGTGTCTGAGCTGAGCGAATTGGCCTGAGCTCACGAAGCAGCCCGCCGTGCATCTTGTTTTTCTTTTTGTGACACTTCTACGGTCAATATGACCAGAGTTCGGTGTTCTAGCTGTGTTTTGGTGAGGAGAAACGTTCAGGTGTCACCTTGATAAATTAGTCTAATGAAAACGAATAAATGCACCTTGAAACCATTCTTACCGTTAGTTTACCTCCTCAGTAAAACTTTAATGTTTTGATGGAATGATGTCATTGCTGTCATGTTACAAATATAATTGCACAATATACAGATTTGTTTACTTTGTTAATACTGACAGACACAATTTTAAACTGCCAGTGTTACTTTTGGAATATTCCAGTGATTATTATTATAGAAACAATTATAAATATAGAGTTTACTGTGAAATGTGAATTTAACATTTCCTTTACATAAGTTGAAAACTATTACATCAGAATAAAAATACAACTAAAACTGCTTTCAATTTGAGTGTACTAAAATTAGACTAAAATGAAAAGAAATTGGATGACTAAATTGTGACAAAAATTAAAAAGAATGTTTTTGTCAAAAGGATAAAACTGAATAAAAATGTCTCGTCAAAATTAACACTGATCCACAAACACAATTATGGGATATAATTCTTGCTAAATGACTAAAATAAACTGTTGCAAGATCCACGAAATGGAAATTTTGCAGCACTGATCACAAATAAATACAATCCACTCTTTTATCCACTCTTTTAATCAGTCTGACAGCTTATGAGAAAAGAATCTGTGCCAAATGATCAATAGAACATGGATAATAAAATAAGTCAGTTTCCCAAAACAACTATTAAAATCATTAGACTTTAGTAATTTAGCATACTTTATAATTGTAGAAAAGTGCTTGAAGTTGGACATTTATAAAACTGTTCATTTTGAACTTGTCTTTCATGGATTTTAGGAAACTTCATGAAATCATTTTACACTCGTTGTAGAAGCTCCATCATTTTTCACTGAATGAAAAGTACTTTTCAATCTAGCTAACTGCACATTTGAATATAGTTATGAAATACTGCGTTGTTAAAACAAGAGAACTCGTAAGATTAATTGAAAAAAAGATGGGCTTTTAAATGTTGCTATATTTAACAAAATCTTTAAGCTCATTAAGTATGTTAAAAAAAAAGTTCTACTATTTTACAAGAAGAACTCTACTGACTGAACAAGCCAAGGACACACCTGAGTGTAATCAATGCTGATCAAATACTTGACACAAAAAGGGAGGGGTATTCAATTCTGGGCCAGACACACCTGATGTCAATCAGCAGATGATTTACAGGCTTGAGCAGAGCCTGATGAGCTGCTGCACAGGTGATTGAACCCCTAAATCAATGTGTTGGAGAACAGAAACCCAAAACGTGCTGGATACTGGCCCTCCAGGACCAGAATTTAATACCCTGGTAATAAGGGGTGACAAAAAATAAATAAAAAATACAAATATTGGCTACAAAAAAGGTAAAACAAAGCTGTAGTTAGCTTGTTAACAAATCTAAAACATTAAGGAAAAATTATCAAATATATATATTGAAATGAAAAGAAACTAGACAAAAACCATCCTCCCCGTCAAAGTACCTATTGGTTTGACCCAATTAACTCCTCAGGTATTTAGAGGCTGTGAGCCTTTGAGCCAACCATTTGTCAGACTCTCTAAGTCAGCATTAAATGAGACAAACAACCCAACTAAAAAAAAAATGTATACATGTGTTCAAAATCTGAAAAGATAACTAGATAGGCATACTCACAAATGCAACTTATGCATGTAAAACACTAAAAAGACTCCAATCTTTTAATGTTACTAGCTTGGGATATAAATGTGTTGAATCTTAGAGATGTAAAGGTGGATGAGAGTTACTGACATTTAATGTTTTGTGGTCATGGGCATCATTTAGATGGACAGATTATGACTTATCTGATGAAAAATCCTACAGGAAAAAAATAATGAGTTGCCACAAGTCAGGCTTGGAAAAAAACAAGTACAACCCTAAAACTGCCATGACCAGAATGATGAAACTGGGGCTATAACATTATAAATAAATGCTTTCGCTGAGTTAAATGAGCTGTTCTACTGTGGTACATTGCTGCATGCTTGCATGTTTTTTAATAGATAATCCATCTGTGTAAAATACTAGATTGCTGTGTACAGTTTTAAACTGTGGCAGAACGTCTTTTGTGTATCCTTGAGCAAAACGTAAATGCAGAAAATAGATTTTCCCTTTAGATTGTTTTGAAAGATTGAGGACAGTGGTGAGAACAGAAATGAGCTCTTCTGTATCTATTCTACATCCTAAATAAGAAATCCAAAGACAAGAACTCATGTGCCTGGTAGTATTTTTGGTCCACAGAGGAACAAATACACATGCATACTAGTATTCCACTTGTAAATTTCAGACACATATATCAGTTGTGTGTCTGTATATATATACATTTGCATGTTTTGACCAGACTACGCATAAAGTGTGTAATATATTTGGAGTTTCTCAAATTTGAAATGACTCAAACTTTTACTAAATTGTAAATGGTTATAATGTGGAAATACTTGTAGACCAAAGAAAGTGTTTAAATTAATGTACACACATCAGCAAACTGAAGGGAATAGAATAAATATTAAAACGATGTGCCATCAGCTTGTCTAATCTATAATTTTATATGTTGGAGGTGGTGCTGAAACAAAATTAAAAACCCTTTAGGTGTGAATGTGGCATTCGGCTCATTTAGTGCTGCTAGATGGTGGACAACAAACGCTTTCTTCTATCTCAGAATCCTCAGGAATCACATATTTAAATATGTGATTTATTAAAATATGTTTTCATCCAATTTGGTCCTTTCCCAAGAAATGTATGTAATTTAGCTTAGTTTTGGGACAGCTATTGATTTAATGATTTTTTTTCACTGTTTAGTTTGAAATGCCATAGGTTTGATAGAGAACTACCAACAGTTTAAAGGTGCATTATGTAAGAGTGGCGTGAGACCGAAAACCTGTGGTTAAATTTGGTCATTGTAGCCCATTTTCCAAACTGTCTGCTTGTTCAGGTTGAATTTAAACAAACATGAAATATATGAGAATAATAATATCTGTATTTCCCCCCCCCCCACCCCCCCCCCCCACACACACACACACTCAGCTAGCACCACGGCTTGCTAGGGGTAACACTGATTTTATGATGTCCCACATAAGGTGGCCTCTGTCCCAAATTTGGGGAGTTTGGACTCTACTATTTCATCCTTTATCTTTTTTGAAAAGAGAGAACCTCACAACTGCCAAGCTAGTTAAGAAAATCTGTTTCAACATGATTAAGACTTTGGACTGTTCTGAAATTTTACTTTTGTACTGTAAAATTGTTATATATTGTGCATTTAATGTGTTCTAAGTGATATGAGTACAGCAAACTGTTCCAACCAGAGCCTTGGTTGCGGCAAACATACCAACTCAAAGGTAAAGATCCATACAGTAGCCCAGATCAGCCTGAGAAAGTCCACAGAGAACAAATCAAAAGCACTGGGAAGCTCAAGAAGAGTGCAAAAAGTACTGGAGGAAGTTTCCTCACTATGAAAGAAGCGAGTCTTACACGAGGCTCTGAAGGCTTTCAAGCTCCTGACAGCTGGTGAAATGCATCACACTTCTAACTCCTACAAACATGTTCCCTATTCACATGGCAATACCTTACTTTTAGCTTCTCTCAGGACCACGTAATGCATACTGACTAGTCATGATCTTCCAAATGTGTGGTTAAGGATCGAGTTGGTTTTTCAGCACAGTCTTGTGGTGTGAAATGCTGCCTGTGGTGCACTAAAGCAGCTTGGATGTTGGTGTTTTGCTTGAGTCAAATGGCTGATTATGAAATCTATTGGTCTCAATGTACACATTTTGGCACAAGACAGCTGCCTAATGCTTTGGTTTTGTGTTTCTGCTCATTGACACAATGGCAGTAAATAAGAACTGTTTTAGCATGTCAACACTGAGAATAAATAATCTAAAAGCTAATTACATTAGCACACACCAGGGGGGGGGGGGGGGGGGAGCAATGCTTCATCAGCAGTGGTGCTCAAATTTTATTGACATTTAAAGCTGCTAATGTAATTTATGGAATGCTCATCTCTGTCCGTGAGTCTCCTAGCTATGCAAATGTTCTGTTTTCACAAACTGGTTCTTTGCTGGCTTCACTTCTTTTGCAGTTTTCCTGTCCTCCTCTGTACCCTTTTGCCTTCTGTTTGTTATCGGATGACTTTCACTACCTTGAAACTTTGTCTCTTCCTTCCCCTCTTCCCCCCTTAACCTGTAACCCTCAGAGGGTTCATCATCTGCGTAAAGTCACACATTTTTTTAATGAATCCCTGAAACACCTGGGTCAGGGATCTTAAACGTGCCATACTTTCCCCAAATAATAAGAAATTGCAAATACATGCTAATTAAAAATGATATACTGACTGAACAATTTGCTAAATTACAAAATTGTTAAAAATGCATTGTATACATATATTATGTCTTCTGCACCAATAACTTGGCAAGATCCTACTATGACAAAGGAAACTGCCAAATCATTGTTTCTTTTTGCAGAACCTTGACAAGGTCTTTAGGCAAATAATGTGGTTGCAGTTGACTTCTCAATACAATAAAATTGAGTTTGAGCATACACAAAACATTCATAGGAAGGTTATGGTGGTTACTTAATGAGGAGTGTTGCAGAGGCAGTGGTGTATCCATGATGTGGAAGCCAGTACCAACAGCATAGCTTAGTGCTCGATGAATTGGAGAAGGGTTGGCAACAATGGCCTCATGGCTAGGCTATGACCCCATGATGCCATCTTTAATATGTTAGTATGCATTAGTATAGCTGTACCCCTGCCAAGAGGATAAATGGGTGTAAATATGTGTCCATAAAGAATAGACTAAGAACAACATTTTTTCTTCTCCAGCCCTCAGAGAGCACAGACGCTTTTTCTTCAGCTCCCTCATCTGCTTCCCCAAGGCTCTCTGTCCTGTCTCCTACAGAGCACTTCTCTGCATTTCTCCTGAAATCACTACTTCTTTTTGGAAATGGACCTAATTAACTGGTCATTCAACGTGATTGATAAAAAAATTTCTACGATGAGAACGGAGAAGGGGGCTCCAACCTGTCCCGAGGGGACATTCGCAGGAGGATATGCACTCGATTCTTGGGAGGTCTGGCGAATCGTGTGTCTATCTCAGCTGTCCATCGAGGACTTGGAAGATTTGTGGATATTCGGCCTGATGATCACTGGAGTTCTTCTGATTGGAGTGGGAGGATATCTGGTTTTCTGGAAATTTGGGAAGCCGGGAGCGATTGGAGTGCGACCCGCACCCACGGAATGTGCCGTTCGTGCATTGGCCTCACAGACTGGGACGTTACTCGAGGTGAACCGTAAGCTGGATAATATCCTCGCGGCGTTGCCTGTGTTAGTGCGCAAGTTGGATGTCATCTCGGAGAGGTTCACCGGACGATGTGGGGATGTTTAGAAAGTATAATTGGCTTCACTGGTGGACATGAATGACCGCTTATAGACTTCAAGGCAGAGAGGAAAATTTTCTCTGCCTGCCCTAAACAAAGTCTTGTTTATCCTCATCTGATGCCAAGGCTGCCTCCAAGGCTGCCATCAATATCACCCCCACGAAAGGAGGAATGCTGACAGATGCTGTGTCCCGACCTTCCCCCCCTGCCGTCAGATTGTGACTTCTGCTTCGAGGTCAAACTGCAGGAACTCAATGTGCTCTCTGTCCCTCATTCTCCCTCCCACCTGTATGTCTGCAGCTGGCCGAGCGCCGTAAGGGCAGCTCCTGTTGGAGGCTTCAGGATCCCGCCCAACCCCGCCTCCCCATCAGACTCTGATGTTTTGTAACTGTGATGTTCGTGCTTCTATGTTAAGGAGTTTTTTTTTTTTTTTGTATAACAGAGCTACTCCCTGCTGGGACTAACTCTGCTATGCCCTTTTTTTTTACCTACCCCAATTATCCTCATGTAGCACCCTTTTCATCTAATGAAATGAGCGCCGTTCTGGCTGCTCTCGTGACTGCCTGTACCTGTTTTGTCTAAATGTGTGTGTGTTTAACCTTGGTCAGGTGTGTTTGCGGAGTCAAGTTCCTATGTTCTGGGTCGCTGGAGCGCTGGCAATAAAGCCTATTCTGATTCTGATTCTGAACATATAGAAAGTGGTGAGATGTGTAGAATAGTGTGGAAAAAACTTGTTTGTCAAGTTCTAAGAGCCAATCGCATCATAACTGAGGAATAGACATGGAGTAAACAAGAAGCAAAACAAGTAAATGGGACTGTATACGTTACTCAAAGACAAGAGGAGCAGGATCCTAGCTCGTTTCATTCATTCATTCATCCATCCGTTCATTCAGCTGTGAAGTACCTTCCTGCCACCAGTCATAAAAACAGTCATCTAAAAGGAAGATGGAGACCTACAGTACTGCCTGAGCCAGGCTTTGTCACTCCAAAGAGAGGTTGATTGTCTAACAACAGGAAGGCAGTTCCACATTTTTGGGGCCAGTACTTATGGGTGCTATTTTTTGTTTACTGGACATTTGTTTTAATTTGCACATTTGGTTACTTGAATGAGTAGGGCTGATTGAGCTTAGTTACTTTACTGATTGTAATAATCAAGTTATGGCTACTAGCCAGTTTCATGTGGAGCTCAATTAGAGCAAGGCTTGAGCCCAGTTCATTTTAAAAATGTTACTCACAAGTAGGCCAATTACTGGCCCTGTTTAAAAGTATGCTGGAGTTTTTTGTTTTATCTTTTGCAGTTGTTTGCACTTTACCTTACAATTGTAAAGTTATGTTTACATTTTATGATTCAGCTGCTGTTGGAGAAAAAATAAATATGGCAATTTTTTTTCATTGCCTAACTTGAAAATGAAGCAGTAGTCATTTTGCATAGATAATGTTTAAAGTTTAAGTGCACATGACAGGAGGTTTGTGATGTTGGCTAGATAAATGTTTTCTTTCGTTAATGGGGGGACCTCACATATATCGGTATCGGGTTATATCGTATCGGAAATTAAGAGGTAGATAACATCGGATATCGGGAAAAAAGTCAATATCAAGCATTCCTAGTTTTTACCATTAATTTCTGTAAATATCCATCAAAATGTTGTTGAAAATGAATGAAATGGTGCCCAGTTGTTGAAAAATATTGGTGGCTTCATAACATAACCATGAAAATCAGGTCTAAAATACATGAGAACGGTTCTAAGTCTCTGGGCGACGCCATATTAGATGCCATGTTTTCTTCTACGTGAAGGCAAAATGCATTTACTGATTTGTAACAAACAGTTACAAAACTTCTGTCATTCTGAAATGTTGTTTCACACATTTACCTCTTCACTTGTTGCCAGTGATGAAAGGGAGTCTGATGTGATTGTTATTTTGCTAAAGTTTGCATTCCACAGGGCTTTTTGACTCTAATGGGCATCCCTTGGTAAGGTCTTACTCCCACACAAAAATACTGCTTGCTTGCAACGATTTAGGAATCTACTATCTTTATGTTTTTGAGGGCGCAATGGCGGTGGTGTAGACGACAGCAGTGCCCTGATCAATCACAAGCTTGCATTCTCTGTCTCGACAAACGGATGTTTAGAAAAGAGAGCTCAACTCCGTCCGTCCTTGCCAGGGCTCTCCAGCAGGCTCGCAAGGATGGATAATGGTGTTGCGTGTCTCCTCACTGACGCAGACGCAGAAGCATGACTCAGGCTTTAGTCCATAAGCAGCAGTGCCGCCACATCCCTGGCATCTGTTGCTAAAAATATGTCATTTTGGACCTTCATCTTTATCTTTTGCACACATTTTGTCGTGATTTGGCGCTACATAAATAAATACATTGAATTGAATATTTAAGAAACACATTAAATCATAATAATTATCAAAGAAACTGCAAAGGAAGTGCATAATGTAATATGTAAACACTGTAAGTAAGTGTTGGACAAAAATATTAAAATTCAAACAAAAAAATAAAAAAAATTGTGCAAAAACGAGCAGATCTGTATATATCACCCGTCGAAAACCCATTAAGCACTTCAGTATCTGAAGTTATACATCATGTAAAGAGTATTTTAAGTCAAAA